CCGCCTCGGCCCGCCCAGGGCGCACCACACGCTCCGCCCCTTCTCCCGCGGCTCCCCGCCGCCTCGGCACGCCCAGGGCACATCGCAGGCTTCCACGCAAGTCCATCCTGCGCGGAGCGGGCGCACCGCAGCCTCTCCCCGCCGGTCCCCAGATCTCGGCACCAGCCCCACCCCATGAGTGGGCTCCCAGGTTACACGCGTGGGAGCCCTCAGAGGCCATGAGTCAGGATGCGCACAATCCCTAGTGACACCTTTGCGACCTTGGGGCACCGCTGGGAGTCTCCCCGCACCCAGGGCCTTATCCCACCCTCTTGCCCTCCTTCACAAGTGTCCCCAGGAGGGGCCCGCTGACCTCCGGAAGGGAGTCACTGTCCCCGGCCTCTCTGGGTCTTGCTTTCCAGGTGGGGTGCACTTGGGGCTCACAGCCTCAGAATCACCTTATGGTCCACACCAACCCCCATCATGATCCCGGTGTTAGGGAGCTATTTTTCATAGCCTTAAGTATTTCATTTTAAGTGAAATTTAATTGGTTTCCATGGCTCAAGATGTCTGTCTGTCTCTTTCTCTCTCTCTCTCTTTCTGTTGAGAGAAAAAGACACACTCCTCTGACCTAACCGCCCTGGCATCTGGATAGGTCTGTTCCAGTTCTGGATAAACTGAGTTGGTCATGTGACGCTGTCTCTGCCAAATGGTCACTTGCCAAATGTGTCAGGAGTTGGGGACACGGCGGGGACTAGAAACCCACCCGTGTTCTCAAATACTCTGCCCACATGGAGCTCACGGGGCCTCTGCTCAGGAGGCCATAGAGGAGACATGGATGGGGAACCCCCAGAGCTGGAGCCAAGTGTGCCCCGAGCTCCAACATCCACTGTGAAGGAGTCGTCAGGTCCTGGACCCCTACCCTGTTTTAAAAAACAAAAACAAAACAAGACAATGTATACAGAATGTGACTGACCGGGGTCTTGGTTACCGGCCACACTTGGCCCAGGGTGACCTTGGCAGGTTCTCTTGAATTCTTTTCCAGCACACTGTAAACAGAGGGACCTGCCAGGGCAGGCGCCGAGGCTCTGAGGCCTGAATTCAGCTCGCAGCATCCCTGGCATCCTCCACCTTGGCTTTATATAAACCGGCGCAGTCTGGCCAGAAAGAGTCGCTTTTGTCCTATTATGTACCCGTTTCTCCTGACCCAACTAGTAGAATCTACTAGTCTTGCTGTTGCTCAGGACCACAATTCCAGGCTGGGAATGTGGCTCAGTGTAGAGTGCTTGTCTAGCATGCGTGAAGCCCTAGGTTTGATTCCTTACTACCACATAAGCAGAAAAAGCCGAAGTGGTACTGTGATTCAAATGGTAGAGTGCTAGCCTTGAGCACAGAGAGGCTCAGGGACAGTGCCTGGATCCTGAGTTGAAGCCCCAAGACTGGCAAAACAAACAACGAGGGGCTGGGAAGGTGGCTCAGTGGTAGAGCGCTTGCCTTGCATGCATGAGGCCCTGGGTTCGATTCCTCAGCACCACATAAGCAAAAAGAAAAAAGC